GAATTTGTCATCCTTACGAAATGTAAATCACCGTAATTCCAGAAACTATTTTCTATTCGCCCAAGCTGTTTTGCTAGCATGTATAAAATTTTCTTTGTCCGGTATTCTAATGAATAACAATTCATGCGGAAAACTGGTCGAAACAATGATGTATGTAACCTGACTGACGGTTCGGTTCGGTCAAATCAAATGATCCGGGTCAAACTTACTATTGACTCTGCAGAAAATTTTATTATATTTGATTGAGTAATTATTTATCGCCTATATTTATATTATTGTGATTTCTGTGAGCATAAGTTGTGTGAAAAATATTATTCCGAATTTAAATTGATTTTTTTATTCCAATTTCCCATATGGGAGCTCATCAGTAAAAAGGAGGAAATCTAAAATTTCGTTAATTTTAGTTCCTAAGCTAATTTTAAGCACATGACTGTGATCAGTCAAGTGGATCAATAAAAAAAATTTTATCAAATTTAGATTTGCTCCTTTTCTATTGACTAGCCCACATATTATATTTTCAATAAAAAAACTCGATAAATAATGATATGTTATTTGCTGGTATGATAAATTCAGAAAAATTGTTCAGATTTTGATGTATACTTAGGAACATTAAAGAAAAATGTATGATATTCAACTACAAAATTCATTTATTATTTATTTTAACTTTTAAATAGGGTTTCATAGTCTGGAAGTTCATTGAAAAATAAAAGAATAGACAAATCTTTTAAATACAAGCTTGGATATAACAGTTATAAGCCGTGGATTAACACCAAAGATATAAAACAAATGCGGATCTAAATTTTGAAGTCTTTACTAATTTCTCTAAATAGATAATAAATGGTGAATATTACACGGGTCAAAATGAAGCTGATGTAGTGATGAAAACAGGTCAAAAAAGTAATTTATTTGATAATATTGTAAATTTTATAGCTCATATTCTTGAAAATAAATCATTTCTTTTTAATTGTTTGCAGTAATGTTCGTTATACCGGGAGCCAATTATTTTTATAACTCATAAATAAATATTTTACAAGGGAACGAGGACGATCTTAGCACAACATTGATATTTGCTTTATCTATTATCAAAACTGTATATTCAATGTATTAATTATTTATTATTTCGTAATAAGTTTTATCTAACATTTTTATAGTATAGCAATTACAAAAGCCAATCAGAATCGACTCAATTATCGGGAGAAATCAGGACATTTTGCATAGTAATACTTCATTCCGGACTAATTACCTATTATTGGACTCATAACTGTTCAATACTGCGCCACATTATTTGTGTATGCAATACATTAATGCAAGGATTCCGATCTATTTGTTTCACAGAATATGTAAAATGAAATATAGAAAAAAGGACAGTGATCATAAGTTGCAATTCTCTTTTTTTCTTTCAATAATATTAGTTTAAATAAAATTTTCAATATAAATATATATTTTATGGCTACTATTCGTTATGATTTAATTAATGCCGCGATAGATAAATCGTATGCATTAACAGACAATAATGTTGATGATAATATGGACAAATATCGTAAATCTAGAAAGAAAATAATTCTTGCTGATAAAGTTCTTACAAAAGACGAAAAATCAGAAGCGATAAGGATATTGAAAGAAATCCATGACCGTAATAAAATCAATTTTAATGTAGGAGAAAAAAGGTTATGTGAAAATTGCAAACAAGAAAGTTTGGCAACGACATATTGTGAAAATTGCATTCGAAACTATTTGAAAGAAAAGTTTTCAAATTGGACGTCAGATAATGAAAATATCGATAATTTAGTACGGAAATGTCAAATTGAAACTATTTGGTCCAAATAATGTGGTTGAATGGATACCATACAATAATTTACAGGATATTAAATATTTGACTAAAGGCGGGTGCTCTGAAATTTATTCTGCAAAATGGGTTGAGGGATATTATTATCAATGGGATGTTAAAGGAAGAGAATTAAAAAGATTTGGCACACAAAACGTGATCCTTAAAAAGTTAAAAAATGTTGAAAGTGCTAATAGAAGTTTGTTTGAAGAGGTATATTTTTTTTAAAGCATTATTTCTAATTGTTTAATCGTTATATAACCATAAATTTTGTATTATTACATATAGGCAGAATCACATTTAACGCTAAGTAGCAAATGGAATTATATTGTTTACTGTTATGGTTTAACTCAAGATCCATCTAGTAAAGAATATTTTCTTGTAATGTATGAAATGGACACGGATTTAAGAAATTATCTACAAAATCATTAACAACTTACATTGAAAAAAAAAATGAAAATTACTTCTGATATCATCGATGCACTTGAAAAGATTCATTGGGAAGATGCGATTCATAGGGATTTGCATTCTGGAAATATATTATATTGTCAATTTTATGATGCATGGTGTATTAGTGATCTTGGATTTTCTGGTCCTGCTGATAAGCCATTAAAATGCATTTATGGAAACCTTCCTTATATAGCTCCCGAAGTTATTGCTGGAAAGGAATATACCAAAGCATCTGATGTTTATAGTCTTGCAATGCTTATGTGGGAAATTTCATCCGGAATACAACCATTTAATGATTTTGAAAATGATTATGAACTCGCAATGAATATTATAAATGGTATGAGACCAAAAATAGCATCAGGTATTCCTTTAGAATATAAAGACTTGATAGAACAATGTTGGAATGCTGATCCATCACAAAGACCCTATATTTATGTAATTAAGAAGAAAATATTTGAAATGAATAAATTATATTATGAATCAAATGATGAAAAAAAAAGTATTATTAAAAAGTTCTTAAAGAAAATTAATTTATCTCAACAAAAATCAAATTATAATACAGAAGTTCATAACCTAAATATAAATTATACAAGCAGCAGCAAATTACTCACAAGTAAAATTTATAAATTTGAAAATTTTCCTGAACCAAGGAATGCAACAGAAGGTAAATTTTTAACAAATAATTTTTATGAATTATCACAATATATAGCTTATATTTTATTCTTATTTAATAAAACAGAAGAGCAAGAAGGTATTTTTTTCTGTTTTAATAATATATTTAAAATAATATTTTTTTTGGACTAGGTTTAGTAATGTTATTTCATCATAAAAGCATTTCATAGTAAACCATACAACTTTAATATTCCTGATAAAAGTGAGTATTGATATTTTAGGTTATTTTGAAATATTTTATTAACTATTTATCATTTAGTTGATGATTTTGATTTAAGTGATAAAACCTCATCCAAAACAATCAGTCTTTTTAAAGGTAAAAAAATATTAATAATTAATATTTTAAAAATAACAATCATTAAATTTTTTTTTTAACAATTAGACAGTAGTAAAAAATTATCCGAAATATCTAAAAAATTACGAATAAATTCAATTTATGGTAAGTAGAATATTATACAATTGTTAAGCTATTTTTTCGATATTTAATAGAAAGTTTTTAATATAAAGGGAAAGCACCGCATCAAAAGAAGTATAATATTGAAATTGACGGTAAGTAGAATCATTTAAATTCATAATAATAAATTCATATTCATATTTTAATTCTTTATTTTATAGATGACGAGAATGGATCATATAATAATTCAAATCTTCATTCAGAAGAACAGGATGAATTGGAAATTCCTGACGGTAAATTATTTGATTTTAAAAATATTTTGTCTCTTATAACAAATTTAATGATTTCGATTTATTTATTAGATGGATTTTAACAGCTTTATTAATAATATATTGTACATATTCATGATATTATTATTATTTATTTATGTATAATTTATAAGAATGTGAAGTGAAGTAATATATTTTATAATTTAGAAATAATTTTTATTAAAGGAGAAAGCGATTATATTTTGACAACTTTTATAGAGATAAAGGACGAATTAAAAAAAATGTTTAGTTAACATCTAATAAATTAAATTAGAATTAGTATTATTTTTATATACTATAATTATAGAAAACTTTTTAACTAATGGTTAAAAACGTAATTTTGAAAGGAAATCATTTCGTAATATGTAGTATTTATGGTTTAGCTATGGATCGTAAAATATAAAAAAAAAAAAAATATCGAAATGTTCTACAAATTGTTATAAACCAATCTAAATTTAAATAAACAGTTATAAGGTTTTTAATTAACTTTTAAAGAATACACATGATTAAAATATATAGATCTTAAACAACTGATCTTTAATTAGTCTATCGTTTATATACTGTATTATAGCATCATGTTTGAAGATTCAAAATTTTTTTACGAAATTCGACTCATGTAACGGAATAATGTAACAGCTAACTTCCAAGCTTTATAAAGTGAGTTTGACTTGTCAGATTTTCTCCTCGCTTAGCTTCTTTTCTCAGTTATGGGCGCGATTTTTGCGACGGTTGTCACTCCACTTTTATCTATTATTTATTGAATTTTAATTTACGCGAATGCATACTTTAAACTTCTATCCAGTTGAAACTTTATATTTGGGATACATGTAAATAAGCTTGGAGAGCAAAAAATACAAAATTTCTATTGGTTGAGATCCTGATAAGAATACTCTGTAAAAACTTCATTAAGATGAAAGCATTACTAAGATATATTTAGACCTCTTTTTTGGGGTGGGAAAGATATAGATGTTTTAAGATTTTCTTTTTTCGGATAAAATGTATTATTTTTTTTTTTTTATTTCTGCAATAATAATAATTCAATAAGTTTTTGCGAGAAGTTTCAAAAATGCTTATTATTTTCTATTCAATTTCACGATTTGTTGAATAGAGAGGTTTATATTCAATTAAGAAAAATTTCCCACTGGAAAATTGGTGAACTACCCCAGTATCGCCATAAAAAATTCACTACCACGTGACATCTTGGGCCCGCATTACAGCATTAAGTGTGTCGTCATGAAATTAAGTGCTCTCTTGTGATGAATAAGGGAGTGATGAATATGATTTTGTGTAGTGTAATGATCACGTGGTAGTGAATTTTTTATGGCGATACTGGGGAAAATAAAAATTGGTGTCACATGTCATGTGACTTCATATACGATTGTAATTGCGGGCGACCACATAATAACTTCGAAGGATAAGATTCTTTCCCATATCCCCCTAACCTGCTAACCCTAATCCCGTGTTGGCGACCAAAAGATTTTTTACGAATAGCCAAAGCGGCCCAACGCTTAAATTCTAAACACAAATAAAGTAAGTACCATTTAATCCGCGGCCAACGAATTTTTTGGCCATTCGGCTATGGCCAACATCCGACCAAATGGCCAATTGTCAACACTGTTCTAACTTCGAAGGTAAAATGAAAACTTTGTAACGATTTATTAAAACAAAGTTTATAATATTTTTAAAAGCAAGACATAGATAGTTATTTTTTTTTTTTGATTTTTAAAAATGTCTGAATCGATAATGAAAAAACAAGTTTAATGAAAGAAACTGTGTTCAAAATTTACGTCAACAATTCCAACTACCCAATTAGTAGTTTTTTTCTTTCATTTGGATTTATTAAATGAAGTTATTTTTTTTTGAAACAGAAAAACATTTTAATTGGTTTAATCCATCCGTCGAAAACTTTGCCACCCGTTGAAACGTCGAAAGTAGTTTGCCTCGGGTTACCCATAAACATTACTTAGAACAGGAAAAAGATTTGCCTTTTTTTATCTGAGATTATTGCCTCTTAAAGGTAAAGTTACGCTATTGGTGGTGTTTCTGGATCTAAATAATGAGCTTATATAATTGTTTTGGAAAGATTTGTTCAAATGGACTAACTTGTCTTTTGAGGAAATTTTGAAACCATCTAATAAGTGGAATCAAATCATGAAGTAACCCTTCCAATTCTTTAAAATGTTTTTAATGTCCAGCGAGATATATTATCAACATCCAATTGAGTGGACATTTTTGACATTCCTCATTTGAGAATATAATTCCAAATTAAAATTTCTTCCATTTCGAGGTCACACATTAAAATGGAAAGATGTGTTCGATTCCTAATAACGTAAATTTTGGAGATTCAAAAAGAACTTTAGGATTTTTGCAAACTTTTTCTAAACAATAATTTTTTAAATCTTCAAAGGTTTCATATTGAAGTACGATTTGAAGAATTTTAACGGGTGGGTTCATTTCTTAAATATTCAGCTTGATTACTGATCAAGTAAGGTCGAATATAATCATTTAACTCTCGAAGATTCAACTCATCA